AAAAAAAAAAAAAGAAAAAAAACAGGAGTGCTTAACCACTGAGCCACATCCCCAGTTCTTTTTATTTTTTATTTTGAGGCAGGGTCTCACTAAGTTGCATGGCTACCCTTGAATTTGCAATCCTCCTGCATAAACCTCCTAAGACACTGGGATTACAGTTATGTACCACCATGCCTGAACCATAGAGTTTTTGAGGAGCATTTATGAAAGGGTGTATGTATGTGTGAGGAGGTTTGGGCCTGGTGGTGTGCTGGACAGGGAAGGAATGTATATGGGACATGGGTGGGATGCTAGTGTAATGGTTCAGTAAAGAGGTACTAAAGTCCTAAATGGGATGGTAGCAGGATAGGTATGGATATGACATAACTTAGATACTGTTCTTAAACTGATAAATGTTGAGCAAGTTCTCAAAATAATATGTATATTCATTGACAATAAGAAATGTAAAATAAATGATCTGTAAATGGGTATGTTCTGCACTTGATTCCATTTTTAGTTATAGTGGGAGATCTACTTCTCCTAAGTCACAGTCCTATGACATCAGCAAACGTGTGCTACATCTGTTAATCTTCTATCTATTTCGAGCTGGCTCTAGAAGTTACTTCATTCCCTGAGAACGAAAAAGTTTAAGAATCTTTGTGGCAAAAACAAAACAAAAACAAAAAAATTCATTGAACAAGAAATACAAAGTGCTTTTACCAAAGACTTAATCCCCTTTAAAAAAGATTAGTAAAAGGAGAAAATTCTGAAAAGATAGTCCACATCTTACAATTTGTGTTCAAAAACGGTTTCTACATAGCTAGTTGTTTAGAACTTGGGAATCATTTTCCAAAAAAGCAGTGCAGTAAATGGTTCCTACTGATCCCACAAAAGCACATTTAACATATAATCAGGTGAGACTTTGTATTTACCATAAAAGGAGTATTTTTGCAATACTGGCAATGAAACAAAATATACTTGCATATGAAATAATGAAAAATATTTTTAATACTATTTACAATTAATCATTCTTCCTCTGTCTGATCAACTAATATTTATAGGCTATTTTCTATGTGAAAAGGATATACTGAGAATTCAAAAAGGTGTTCAGCTAGTTCCTGACTCCAATTATTTTACAATAGAATTGCTGGAGGATGAGGAGGCCCAAGAGAGCACCTGGCAGATAGTAGGTGTGCAAGGGATTCTGACTATAGTATCAGGAGACAGAAACTTCTAAGGATACACCAGAATATCTATGAGGGATACAATCCGATGTGAGATGCAAAGACAGAAAGAAGGTGGTAAATTATTCCTGAGGTAACCAGAAAAAAAAATGAAATTAAATTTCATGAAGTGGACCAAGTAAGAGTTGTATGCAATGAGAAAAGGCTTCCTGAGGTGAAGAAATGAAATGAGGAAAAACAGGGGAGTAGATAAAAGAGGTGACAATGTGGAATAAGAAGTTGGGAAAATCTCTATAGCAAACAAGGAGGATTCAGACAATGCCAGGAAGTCTCTAGGCAGGTGAAAGAGGGGAAGGCAATTAATAAACCTAGTGGTTACAGACCTGTTATCATTTCTGTTAAAAACTGAAAAGGGCTTTAGAAAATAAACAGGTATGATCTCATCAAACAGGTATGTTCTCTCTCTCTCTCTAATCCAAAATACTTTGTGCACACTGGTGGCTCACAAAGACCACTGAATGAATGAGCTCATGAATTAGTATAAGGTAATTCATTTTTCTAATCCAATGTGAACATAACCTTCTTCAATTATATTAATAAAAATGATTACCACATTTGTAATACCAACCACTGTTAGATTTATACATATTATTTCATCTTCACAGAAACCTGAAAGTGAGTGCTATTATCACAAACTTAATAAGGAAGCTAGGAGATTAGATATTAACTTCCCCAAGATTACAATGAGACAGTTTTTCTGAGATTCAAACCTATATCAGGTAAGTTTCAAAAATCAATGTTTTTTCCTTTTCCAGATCTCCTCCCCTATGGGCTGTAACATTTTAGATGTACAACTCCCGTGATCTCAAGATTCTACCTGATGTTTTTAGGTAACTATTTATTTACCTTATTTGTTCCTACTAAATTTGTTACTCCTTGAGGGACTGACTTATTGCTATTATCCTTACACATTAAATACTCAATATATTTGTATTAATTAAATGATAAATAAAAGTAAATCTTACTTCAGTAATCCTAAAATTCAGTTACTATATTTTCATAGACTTTAACAGTCATAAAACAATGCTGATACACATTTTTTTCTTCATTAACTTCAAGGAATAAAAACACTGGTTTCTAGAAAAAGCTAGCTTTCCATTCATTAAATCCACGTTTAACCTTACCTATAAACACAGTAGTAATTTTCTTAACATTATAAACTTAGGTAACACATATTATTTTTACCAGTACAATACTTCCAGAAAATGCTCTTTTTTTTGGGATGATCTCCATGACTCCCTTTATGACTCTTATTGAGCAATCTCCATGTTTACTTGTAACAGAGGCCACACCAGTGTCTTTGGCAGCATAATACACAAGAGCCAAAAGGTACAACAGCTCAAGTGTACACAGATGAAGAAAATGAGTTCTACACATACAATGGAAAATTATTCAGACTAAAAAAAAAAAAGGAAATTAGAACACATGCTACGACATAGATGAACCTCAGGAGCCAGTCACAAACAAATACTGTGTGATTCTACTTATGAGATATCTGGAGTAATCAAGTTCATAGGAAAAAGAAATCAAGTTCATAGGAAAAAGTGGTTGACAAGGGTTGGGAGGAGGGGAAATGGGGAGTTACTTAATGAGTAATGAGTTTCAGTTTTTAAGATGAAAGACTGGTTTGCACAATGAAGTGACTATACTTAACACTAATGAAATAGTACACTTAATATAATTAAAATGGCAAATTTTGTTTTGCACTTTTACTCCCCCATGTCAAAAGGAATAGAGGCTGTTATGAACTGAATGTTTGTGTCCCCCACCAAATTCATATCTTGAGGCTCTAACACCCAATGTGATGGTATTGGGCAATGGGACCTGTGGGAAATAGTTTTAGAAGAGTTTATGAGGGCAGAGTCCCCTTAATGGGATTAGTGTCACATACATACATATATAAGAAATGTACAGTGTTAAGCTACTATTTGCTATGGCAGTTAATCTACTGTGAGTAATATACAGTAAAACCTCTAGCACGCTCCAGATCCTTTGGCTATGGCAAACCCAGTAACAGTTGAGTGGTCTCCTTACCAAAAGAATCTGGATAGAAAACAGTCTGAGATGCAACTTTCAAATATCAATTTCTAGACTGTCTCACATGTCTACATTAATTCAACCTCAGTTTTAAAAAATCGAAACCATTTAGTACAAAAAAACAAAAAACAAAACCTATTCTCAATGCTTTATATATATATTTGGCAAT